AYCCCCTTTCTGCACACCCAGCAGTCCCATGCCCTGTTTCCTGTCCTTAATCATTCCCTGTACTCATCATTTCTAATACCTTTTGTCAATAGCTGCCTCTCTGAATTTCTGTTGTATGGTGCCTTATCCCTTAAATGTTGAGCAGGAGTGACAGGCACTTTTAATCTTAATTCCAGATATGTATTTTTACAGGGCTGAGTCCATATTTCCTACACATTTTAATAAGTATGTAAAAATAATATAATTAATAGATATTATATCTATTAGCAACTTATGTTGTTTAAGGAATTTGAGTGTTTACATTTGGCTGGTGTTTCAGAAGTACAATCCTACAGATTTTTCTAAAAACCAGAAAATTGAAAAATATGATATAAATTATCATTCTGTGTTAACAGTTGTTTCAAACCAGGAAGAAGAAAAAAGTTAAGCTTCATCTGTTTAAGAAATTATTTTCCTTATCAGTAGTAAGTAACACACCATAGAGTGTTCATTATTAATTATATAAGACGGAGGATACAATTATATTAGACGGAGGATTTTCTGTTTACTGTGGAATTTTATATCATCCTCATTACCAGYTTCTGAGCATTTTCAAGTCATTCTCTAAGTGACAGAACTATACCTCTCACACTTTTGATGTCTCTTCTCATGGAGATTTGTTTATTAATTTCACACTTTGCATTGGTATAGTCTTGCTTAGGTMCCTTCCCTGTCTGAAATGTGCTTGCCAGGCAAATAAACCACATACCCTGTACTGAAAGTAGACCATGAAGTGTAAGATGAATTTTTGGATCCTGAATTATCAATCAGAAAAGTAGGTTGAGTGATGACTCAAGTCTGAACATTTCCTAGCTTTTCATCTGCTTTTCACCAGAACATTTGTCAATGCCAGACAAACTCTTTCATGGAAACATGGAAAGCATACTGGGTAAAGAAGACATAAAAATACAATATAATGCCTGGTTGGCTAGGTTGAGGCTTAATATTGCACTGCCACAGTGAAATTGCCTTCAAAGGAGCTAAAAACCCCAGCGCTTTCTCAATAATAGCACAAACTAAACCTGTAACTATGTGAGATGCCTGAGAAGTTTAAGGCCTATTTTATAATAATCAAACCCCAAATATCTCAGATTAAAAAGAGAAAAAAAAAAAGATTCTTGTTTATAGTCTAAGCCCACAGTTTTCAGCAATCCCAGAAAAATCAGTCTCATCCCTTTCTCTTCCCTATCTTGCCAATGTCTCTTTTAATGGGGGATCCACTGAGGAGCATGTTAGGTTTATATAGTTCAGGTTTTCAGTTGTTTATAATTCACAGTCATGAATTTTGTTTAATCCAAGTTACTGAAAATGCCTATGARTGCTGAATAGCAATAGTTGATACTAGCAGGACTGCTTGGGAATTTGAGCCCTTTGAGGATATCCATGAGCTGAAACTGATTCCATCCTGATGCCCTGCATTCTGATCATGTCAGGRCGGTGTCACCAGCCCTTTGCTCGTGTGGCCTCCCCAGTCCCCCTGCACCGTGCAGTGGTGCTGCCCCAGGGAGAGAGTCCTKGCATGGGACAATCCCAGGGGACTGGAGTTCCATGGCTTGGACCTGAGGGACTGGGGCCAGGGGTACRGGTTGTGCTACTGGGGCCACAGCAATCCTTTCTCCATCCGTTCTTCATTCCTTCTCCACCCCTCCTGCATCATCACCCTTCTCCCAGCTCTGGGAGGGTTTCAGGATCTTGGGAGAAGAGTTTGGGTCTGGTTTTGCAAAGGGGCTGAGAGGAGCCCTGTCTTGCCCAAGACCAGTGGAAGTTTAAAGAGCAGATTTGCAGAACAAACTCAGTTGTTATTCTCACCTCTCCTTCCACAGTATCTCTTAATCTTCTTAATAAAGTTTTAAAATGAAACATGCCATGTCAAAAAAAATAATTCCAAGTGAGAGTGAAATCTGTCCCAGTTTAGCAGACTGGAAGTATTCAGGAGACTGGTTAAGTTATGCCAAATGCTTTCCAGACAGTGGGATTTAGACTTGAGTGTTTTAGCAAACTAGGGTAACTGTAAATACAGGCTTCTTTTTTGGTCTCTATGGAGGTTTAGGATGGAACCTAAGTAAAGGTTCACCCAGAGGGTGGTCAGGCACTGGAATGGGATCCCCAGGGAAGTGGTCATGGCACCAAGCCTGACAGAGTTCGAGATGGATTTGGACAAYGCTTTCAGCTATATAGGGGGATTGTTGGGACTGTCCTGTGCAAGGCCAGGAGTTGGACTTGATGATCCTTGTGGGTCCCTTCCAATTTACCATATCTTATGATTCTATGTTTCTATGCATATTGTACAGAGGTAATAAATGACAGTGAAGCTTCTGTCACTTCACTGAATATTTTGCACATGGTATTCAAAGTTTAGAAGAATGACAGGCTTTTGACTTAGACTTGGTAAATAAAACTTTCATGGACTTTGTGTGTTCTGCACCAAGTCTCCTAAATCTCTGTGCTGGGTTTCTCAACAAAGTAGTCAGTAGAACATACCTGCCCTTGATTTAAGTTCTTGTAAATATCAGAATGATTGGAAAACCTGAAATTTGAAGCATAATAGCTGCTGAAAAAATATTTAGGTTTTCTCATTGAGTGCCAGTTTTCTTGACTCAGAACAATTCTAAAGGCGTGAATCAAATAATCCTGGTTTTGTTCCAGTGGACATTTTCCCTAAGTGCTTGACTAGAGCAGAGTTAACTGGTGGTGCTCATTGAACTGATGAGTGGTGCTTGTTTTTTTTAAGACTGCTGCTGTTATTACACTGCATTAATGGACAAAGTATATTCATTGCTGCTGGGTTTGTTCCAAGTTGGAAATTTATGCTCTTGCCACTCAGATGGCATTTCTTCGTAACAGAAGTAGTTGTTACAAGATTGCTTTGGAGAAAATTATGACCATATCCATTTTAACCTGTGGGTTTCTTCTTAAATTACACATGCAAAATTCATTAAAGTACTACCTAGCTTAATCTATAAAGCAATCCAACTTGCTCTAACATCTAATACACATTATAATTACTTTTTATGTTTTTCCCTTCAGGAGTAATCACAATCAATTTACTGAAAATGTGTTTTGCTGGAGTTTGCTTTGGGAAATTGTTTTGCCTACAGACATCCAAGTTGCCATGACATTGTTTCAAAGATGTATTTCTTATTTTGATTCCTGTAGAACAACTGTAGTTTGCAATTGCAGTAAATGACAAGCAGATAGCTATAAAAAAACCTGAGATCCACCAGTAGTTTCCAGAAGTGAGGATTTGTATTAATTTGTTACCATCCTTGAAGGAAAGGAATGGGATTTTTCCTCCATATGACCAGTGTATCACTGGTTCTGAAAATGTGAGACTCCCACAACACCACCTGTGCTTCATACAGATTACTGACTTTCACATCTCACTCATGCTTCTCTCTCTTATAACATGACAGCAAGTTAGGTGATTTAATCTGCCCCACTCTGTAACCTGCATTTTGTTAACCTCTTCCCTTATGCAGTGGAATGTAAAGTGTCCTTGTGAACTGAGAAATAAATGCTGTTGTGCTCTGGTGATTCACACAGCACATATTGTTGGATGTTGAATTTGCACACTGATCCAAAAGGGATAAAGGTCAAAATATGTGATTTTTCTGTTTATTACTTGCATCTGTCGCTGAACATCTCTTTGGTTTTTGCATTTAAGATGAAACGTGAGTGATTTTAAAAGCATACCTTGCCTAGACAAGGGTTGGCTTCTAATTTCTGGATCAAGTAACAGTTTCTGATGTTATTGGGAAGGTCTGGATTCTTCAGTCTCTCTCCTCTGCTTTCTAGAGGAATCTTGTGCAATCTTGTAAGCCTGCCTCTTGAAAGGCATAGATGCACAACTCAGTTTGTAGCTGTTCAATTACATTTTTTCCACTTTTCTTTTCTTCTACACTGTCTCCCTGTGAATGCTGTTCTCATGGATTATTTGGGGCAATGTGCAGCCTCTCTACCTGTATGTCTCAAGTTAACATGCCTCAGAGCCCTCTGGCTGAGGAAATTGTTCTCCTGGCAGCAACTTCTCCATTTTAGTCCAGTCCCATCTTTGCAATATGATTAGGTTGCCTTATGTTCCCTGCTGTGCTATTTGTGCTGCTATTTTGAAATTACTAATTATTTTTGAAACAGATTCAATGTTTTCAGGCAATTTGTGTGAATTAATTGTTTCCATCTTGAATGTTTGAAGGAAGTCAATAGCCTCTCTGACTCCAAAATGGACAAAATATATACCCCCCCACCCATGAAAATAAGGAGATACTAATCYAGTTCTTTATTTTGTAAATCATGACTAAGCAAAAAAGTGGGAAATAAGAAMGGTGTTCTGTATTTCATACAAAGATATGCTGAAGGTATAATTAGACTTTTGTCTAGAGAGAGTCATAGAGTGGATTTCTTCTTTCCTCTCCTCTGCCCAAAGATATGGATCTGTTTTTGTCTAAAGTAAACAGGTTTGTACAGTCCTTCTTAAGTACAGTATAAACAGAAATTGTTCTTTTTGAGGTTAATAAAAAACTACCTTTAGTTTATATTTTTCTATCAACAGCTGCACCCATCCATTTGTTTAAGTATGCCTCAKAGAACTTAGTTTTGTAAGCATCCAAACCAGTGCAAGAGCCCAAGCAAAGGTTTTGTAAAAGCTTTTAGAGTTCAATTGATTATTACCTAAGGCAGTTTGATTAGTTCATAGCCTTTATAATAACTATTGCAACCATGCTGGAAATGCTTATTTGGTATGTATGATTCTTCCCACTGGCAACTTCCATAGCATTGAATTTTTTTCTTTTTCTTAGATGTTTATTACAAGAATGGCACTGAAATACCTTTTTCTTTTTGGTCTCCTCAGAATGAAAGATTTTTCSTATGTGATCAAATGGTATGAAACTCAAAGGAGAGAATAAGCCAGGTTATTGTAGTCATTTATCTGTTCCTATTTCTGTTCTGCTTTGTTTCAAAAGGACGAATCAGCCGGGAATGTTCACAAAGAAAGAATTTGATCAGTTGGCCTCAGCAATAGACAGCTTCAGCCTCATGACATACGACTATTCAGCACCGCATCGGTAAGACTTCATCTGATATCAGAAAATCATTGAAGGAACTGATTCCTGCTTAAGTCACTRTTAATTCTACAGTGCAAGTTCATTTTTTTCTACTAAAGTTGTAACTGTATCAGATGCTACAGTTCTGGATTAATGATTAAAATAGATGATTTTTCAACCAGCTGATAGTGCATTTTTTAACAGCAATGTGTATTTATCTGGGGTTTGGATATTATGAAAGATTTTGTACTCAAGCTAAAAAGGCATCCTTTTAAWAGGATAACCTGACATTCTTTTCCAGGCCATGTTCTTTTGTTTTGAATTACTTAGCATAGTTCTGCAGGATAGGSACACTAATAATCTACTAATAATACMGTTGTTGAACAAATTAGCTTTAAACAATTGATAGTTCATTTGCCTTTAAGTATGAGACCAGTTCCCAGCAACATTCCTTTGCTGTATTAGCATGTTAAGTTTTAATGGCAGAGGTATCATGAAGGCTTTGAGGCAGATAATYAGTAGGAAGTAGATAATGTTGATATTTGTAAGACTAGGGTATACTTCTCCTGTTACCATGCTAGTGAGTGCCTTTTGTTGAGTTAGAGGCAAAGCCTGCTCTCCTCTCCAGTGAGGTCGGAATGGAATGAGTACAATATTCTGATGTTATGTATATGACCATTCAAGTACTCYGTGTGTTAAGTTCATGCTCCTTTTCTTCATGTAGCTTTTGTTAGGTAATTGCCTTTTTAGGTTTTTTTTTTCCCCCATAAATGTTACACCATCACTGAAACTTGTCTTGCTTACCAGTCACTAATTTTATAGTTTCTCCTGTAGGTAAATGATGAGTTTTGTCCCAATATATTTTGCCAGTTTGCAGTAAAAACACCGAGGATGGTATTGGAAAGCAAATGAAGTCTTACACAGTTCTGAATTGCAGTGTAGGCATTGTGCAAGGCCCAGTGACAATGTGCTGTGGGGAAACMTTTTCTTACCCCTAAGGAGTGTAATGTCCCTTCACCTTAGAATGGAATCAAAAAGTCAAGAGTGTGGCAATCGTGTTTTGTGTATCAGCACTTCAAGCCGCTGAAGAATGGGCATTTAACCTTGATAGAATTGTAGGTTCATCTTCACTGATTTTTATGTGCCATAATTTGCTCTTTACAATTACACWGGTCCAAAAGAGAAGGCTCAGTATGAACACGTGCTTTTTCTGACAACCTRTTTGATTTTTGGTACCTTGACAGACCTGGTCCAAATTCCCCCCTTCCCTGGGTACGAGCTTGTGTTGAAGTACTGGATCCTGATTCGARATGGAGGAATAAAATACTTCTAGGACTGAATTTCTATGGCATGGACTTTTCTGCTTTGGGAGCCTCTGGGGAGCCAATCCTTGGTAGCAGGTATGACTTCTCTGAATAAAGTACTTCCGTATGATATATTCTCACAAAAATTAGAAATTCGCAAGTATTTTTATTTAGAAATATGGATGTGTTAGCAACACAGAAATGGCAAAAATGATAAATCTGTACATGAAATAGTAGCTCAGCAGTTARAGTAAGACGTGTAACTTCTCTTCCCTGTACAGAAATGCAGATTGATGGCACAGTTACCCTGTCAGAACTCTCACACAAAAATGGTGTGTGTAGTTTTCCCTTTTTCCTCTATCTATGTTTGTACATGCAGGCTCCCATCCTTGTGGTAAAAAYCTTCTGTAGTGTTCTCTTATGTTCCATATCATTTTGGGGGTTCCTGCAGTTGTCTTACTGATTCTTTCTCTTAGCTTCTGAAGTTGTTACCTGTTACTTTGAAATTTGATACTGGTTTCCCCGCAGCAATTTGCCACTAAGTTTCTTTTCCATAGAAAAAACTGCAATAAGCTCAACTGGAGAGAAAAATCTGTAACAAGATAAAGGGAAATATTCCAATGCCAGGCTGAAATTTTRTATTGATTCTCAGAAGAAAATAGCTGGTTTTAGTTTTGGGTAATAACAGTGAGTTTTGAAGAAATACAGTCAAGGAATAGTACATCAAGCCAGAAGAAAAACAAGAAAAACACTGTGAATTTGACAGGAAAATCAGGTTTGTTCAGAAATTTGTTATTAAATTATAAATTGGAATGAAACCAAGTGGAAACAAACATAAAGTACACAAGGTGACTGTTCTGACTTTCACAGGTTACTAAGTTCATTACCCCACGATATTTGGGTATAATAACAAATTGCTTTTTAGACCTTGCAATACTGTGAGGTGGACTGTGTAAGGTAAGACTGATTTTTTTTTATATCCATGCCTTCAGTTACACAAACACCTTCATCATTGTGCTTGCCTCTGCTTCTCTTCCTGCTTCTCCTTGGTAGGGGTATAATACTGTAGACAGTTTTCTTCCAGTACTGATCTGTGTTTGATTCTGTCTGAATAACAGAAAAGAGGAAAATAAAACCATTGTTTACATGAAAGGTATCTAGYAGGTATTTCAGAATGACTTCTCTAAAGTTAGTTGCGTGGTTAGCCTGGAAGAGTACTCAATAGTCAAAGCATTGTTGATTTACAGACCTAATTATACAAGCTCAGCAAAATCATGTAGGTTCAATGTAATAGKTACAGTTCCTTTTGCAACTAGAGTATTACACTGTCTAGGAGAATAAAAGGTTCTTGCTTTTTTCTGAACTGCAACTTTTGAAATTAAGTTTCCGCTTGAGAAAACACTGTGTACTAGGATGGCATCTACTTTACTCTTCATAGATTCTTCTGGACTGTATTGTGGTATTAACTMATGTTGTTTTTTAATTAATGGCAAAAATATCCTAGCTAAGAGTCATGTATGATTACYGTAACTTTTATGGAAAGGGTCTATATTTACCTGTCTGTAGGACACTGGTGCACAGTGTGGGACAATATGTTTTATACAGAGAATGGTTCCCTTAACAGATCATGACGGTTCATTGACAGATTGTCATTTTCCAGATATTTACCAGAAGCATGGTTCTGGACAGTCTTTAAAAGACTTTGAAGGAATACATAAAACACACGAATTTTCACTTTTCTGCGTTACCCATTGGTCAGTGGTTATCTTTATTTTTCCAGAAATATATCTCTGAGCGTCCACAGTTGTATATGTTGTGTAGTAGTGCAAAAGTAGAATAGATTCAATGTAAAATAGCTTCAAAATAGGCCAAACTTCTGACATAGAGAAAACAGAAAAAAGAAAAAAAACAGGGTGCTTTTAGTATTAAATAAGCTTTTTACTGCTTAATTGTTATCAGGCTGTGAGGAAGTCCTTTGACATGCAAGAAGTGCTGAAGGATTTGTTCATGGCTCCTTTAAGGCACTGTCCATATGTTGTAGTGATAGTGAAGTTGAGCTAAAATACTGGTATTAAAATTTATTCAAAGTCTATTCAGTTAAGTGCAGTCTGGTGTGTGTCAACTTCTTTGTTGTAGATTTCTGCTCAAGTTTTTGCATATGAAATTCGTTGCAAGTACAAGCCTCCAGCATGTCAGTGCTTGTTGGCACACACTAAGGTGCACAGTGTCTTGTTGAAGCATATTCWTTGGAATCTGATCTTTAAGAAGAGAGATGGTGGATTGCAACATCCGGTGGCAAACTGTGTATTGTCACATTGTTTGATGTCAGCGTATTATGCACTTTAATTGATTATTAGTAAAGTGTATGCATAGAATWGTATGCAGAATRCAGAAATCCTTGCKGGTCTATGTCTATGTTTTTCTTTAGGATAGGAATGACACAATGGAAAGAGATGCWGAACATAGGTAGWTTCCATTCACTGTATTTGTTTTCAGCCCAGAAATTAATAAAATAACTTACACAGTACTCCYGTTTGCATAAAGTATTGTTTGGCAATGGTTTTTTATTGCAGAATGTAATTTAAAGGTCGAGTACTTGAAAAGATATATAACCTTTCCGTGTAATATCCTGTTTCCTTCATAAGAAGTRCTAGGTATATATGTATATGCTTGCATCTCAGATACATCTCAGAATTAAATGAAATGAAAACAGTTTTTCTCTTACAGCAGCACAATGTAGTTTGTCCTTGGATGTTGYTACAATAGGAACTACAATTTGTATTTGCAGCAACAATTTGTTTCTTAAAGCTCAGTCACAACTATTACTTATTAATACAATGAGTCAGTCACAGAGATTATAGCACTTTCTTGTGCTTTATTCAACCAAATGCTGTTCAGTCAGCTGCAGGGAAGCTGCATTCCTTTGTATATTTCATTGTGACATAATTTTCATGAAAACCTAAGCTGCAAATAAAGGTGTTTTGTTTGTGGTTCCCCCAATCACCTGTAGTGCTTCTGGCARTGTTTTCTGCCCTCTGGCTGTTAAGAATCAGGTGTCTGAATCCTTAAGATGYAGTCATTCTAACTTTCCACTGTATTAAAATCCTGTCAGAACATAACCATCTGTTGCTGCTGACTTGCTGCTCTAGTGATCACCTTGTTCCAGAATGTCCTGTGTTGAAACTGTGACCTGACAGTATTTCCTCTTCAGCTCACAAGTGTATGTCTTGGGTAAATAATTCTTTAGTATACCCTGAAGCTTAAGAAATTGGTTAGTCTTTTTGAGAGATCTTTATCATTGGGTCCTTTTTGAGACCTGCAGCAGGTCAGCAAGCCACTCAATCTCATGAGCTTCTTACTTCCAATGTACTTTTTATGCCTTTAACCATCTGTTCTACAGAATCTCTGTTAATTATTGGGACATTACATTTCATTTGCAGTTTTGTTTTGCCTTCTCATGGGAGGTTACACAGCAATGTAGTAGGGTTTTTCAATCCATGCCATCTAAAATCTATATCCATAATGACCTGGGCCCAAACGGAACTGATAAACTTCATTGCTAGCTGTGAATTAAAAGCAATGTAAATCAAAGACTGTCACGTGGTGGTGGTGTTGCTTACATTTAATAAATCAAAATTCTTTATGGAGCACCTCCCTGCTAAGTTTCATGTGATAATGTCATTTTGTCCTTTTCTTTGTGTAGTGTTGAAAGAGGAAAGATACATCTCTAATGTTCCACCTGGCTCTGTGTAACTTTTGAATATATTCTGCATTCAAGCTGCTTTTGTTCCAAGCATAGCTGTTGAAAATAGATATGTGAATAACCCTGTTATTTTGAAACAATGCTGTGTGTGCTTACCTTTTATTTAAAGTAATCTGAATAAGAATTTCTATGTTAATTTTAAACATTTAAGAAGATTGATATAATAAATTACCAGGGAGAAACAAGGGAGAAACTAATTTTACAATGCATTGGGCTGTTCAGAGATAGAAAATAAGATGACTTGCAAGCTATGTGAGGATGTAGAGTTCTACTGAGAATTTAATTGGCTGCCTGCCATTCTGTAAATAGCATGTCATAAAATGTGGTACTTAGAAAGTTAGAGGTGAACTTTTTCTCTGAATTGTCAGTGTCTTTATAAGTAGCAATATAAGATTTGAGCCAACTGTGACTCATGATTTTGTTTTACAGCAGTTACCAAAAAGCTTGTGCCAGGAACCCTTTTACTCTTGCAAAGTAAAAGGTTTTAAAAAAAGTAAAAGCTTTTAAACATTTTTCTTCATGCTGKAATTCTCTCAGGATTTCTATTACTTCCCTTTATGCCAGGATTCTGTATCCTGATTTAATCTATTTTGTTCAGAGTTCATGGGGAGATACTAATATTTTGGGGAAATTTTGGGGAGATACTAATATTTCAAATAAACCAATGTACCAATTGGTTTGGTAGGACTGAATGTTTGGGATTTTTTAGCAGACAGGCTTTTCTTTTAAAAGCAAGTTGCTTGGAGTTGTTCTAATCCTAAACTGATCTTTCAGTCCTGATTATCTAATTTGAGCATTAATCTGTTCAATGAATGGAATTGCCATGATTGTTTTGGGGAAGSAGTCAGAATTCAAACAGAGATACGAGTTTCTATAGGCCTGTTGAAACTGATCTGATTCTCATCAGCATWGATTTAAAAGCTGGAATGAACTTTCTTGGTAACTCAAATGTAATTTCAGTTGGTTGAATTTTTAGGAAGATGACTATATACTCCTTCATTTGCTAAAGAGCACTGCTTCCAAAGCTTTATTTAGTAAGCTCTGAAATATAATGCAATTCCTGATAAAACACAGTTTTTGGCTTTTTTCTTTTCCTCAGAAGTTATGTCTTTATTACTTGACTATGTATAGGCTCTCAAGCTAACTGCCACAAAAGTGATGCTGGGGACCCMGAGCTGACACAATGAGTCTTTGGAACTTTTTCCTTTGTGGTGACTTTGGTCTGGTCCTATGAGCTGGAACRTTAGCAGCTCGAGTGCTGCTTCAGTTGTTTTATCCAAAAAAAGCATCCGTTTTATGCACTCTGGGACTGGTCCGTGGTGCAGACTACAGT